CGATACCAGGAAAGAAGATCGGGTTGTTGATGTTTGTCTGCCATTCTCGCTCTGTCTGCACAGCTTGCGTGAACGCGCTGATGACGTATCCTGTCTGCGCTAACCGGGTGCACAGAGGTATGCAGATACATACATTGACAGGCAGGTAGGAAAGCCAATTAAAACGCTCAGACCAAGTGTTTTGATTGGACGAACATTTCTTGGTCCTACGCCTTCCACAGAATATATAAATACAGATAAATACATTTAGATCACTTAACTTAATGATTCCTATCGTGATGTGAAGAGACTTTCAACCAGCATAACAAAAAATGTTTCTGAAGACAATCACCTATTGCACCTTTAAGTATATTTGCCTTTTGTCTTTTGGATAATTAGCTGTAAATTCGAGGCACAGGTAGCTTAGTCTGTTGTTCATCACCACTCACCTCCACACCAAGACAAACACAACTGGAAAGGGAGGGAGGGCTTCACTTCTGCGGCTCTCTACCTGTCTGTGATGTGCCAATCAATGTGTGCTACACTGCTGTGCTGTGTGCAGGGCCGTTGCTGGGGTTTGCGGGGCCCCAGTGCAGGTGGTACCAGTGGGCCCTGTTTGAAACTGTTTAATTTGTATGTTTGTTCTATTTATTTATTTGTGCTATTTACGTGAGATTTTGATATCATTACATCCCTATTAACCATCCAAAACGTGACATTCAAATTAATTGGATAAAATCCGAAAAATGGCACTGCCTTACATACAGTCAAGCTGCATCAGTGATGCCAAACACTCTTGGTTTGCTGTGGGTCTTGCAACCAGTCAAGTTGTAGCGAGTTTGAATATGCTGAAATACGAATGAGATTTGAGAGCTATGGGGAGCGATCAATCTTAAATTGAACTATTCCTCACACAGAGAATCATATGACTTTAGTAGACTTGGAATATAGAGCAAACGCTGTATGGACCGCTTTTGGTGTGCTATTCCTTTTATTTATCCTTTTATCCTTTTAGGAATAGCAGCTCTGAGTTTCTCCCTTTGTGTTTTTCTGGCAGAAGAATGTCACAGAGGTTCAGAACGAGGAGGCTGAGTAAATGTTCAGTAAATGAATTTTCATTTATGGTTGAACTCTTCTTTTACACTTCCCACAGATGTGAAGGAAAATATACAACAGCGTAGTGTATATGTGTGAGAGAGATAGATAGAGGGGATGGGTGACACAAATGGGTGGAGTGTAAGAGAAGTGACCTGCCCTCTCCCTTTCTCTCTTACTCTCTTACTCTCTCTCTCTCACACAGTCCCTCCCTCGCTCCCTCAGCCTCGACTATAAATAACCGAAATATGACTTTCAAGGTGCAGAGATAGAATCCATTTGGAATGTTCTCTAAAATGAAGAGTGATTTATGATTTCATACAATTCCTGCTGAAAGCATTTCGGGCTTTGCCCGGTCATCAAAGTCCTGCCAGCTCAAATCTATTATTTATCGCCCAGCATGTCTATGTGGCATCAGAACTTTATGGCAGGTAATGTTTGTCTTTAGCAAACATGATGTGGAAAAATCAATACCGGATAGGATAAATGGCATTAAAAGATGGCGGCCAGAGGTTATTTACACTTTTTAAAAACATCTTCAGTATTATCTGGACCGATATATTGAGGCTCCTCGCGCTGTTGCTGCTCTTGTAGGGGCGCAATTGAGATGCATCTGTTTTAAACAGGCCAAGTGAATTAATGTAATACTTTTCCATAAATATAATTAGGTTTCTTCAGTTCAGGTGATTTTATAAAATGATGTCACTGTAAAGCACATAAGGATGCATTATGTAAGGAATAACTGACGACGGGCCGTTGAATTATTAGAAAAATAATGCACACCCGTGGTGGTGATGCCGTTACACCTCGGGTGTGCATTATTTTTCTAATAATTCAGCGGCCCGGAGTCAATTCTTCCGCTTATACTACGGTTACCACACCTCAAGACATCGATCAGATAATATATTTAAAAGGATTCGTCCGTTTTTTGTACTTGAATCGCTATTGTGAGTAGGATTATTTCTTCCGCATCTCATCCAACACCTCTTTTGCTAGTTCCAAAACGTCATTTAAAGCTGGTAATGGAGGCTTGAGCCGTTGATAGCATTCTAATGCAGTTATTAATGAAGTTATTAGAAAGAGAGAGAGAGCGAGAGCTTGTGTGAATTCGGCTACCTCTGTGTGTCCCTCAACAGTGGTCTGCAGCAGCGTCTCTAAACAGCGCTGTTATTACCTCGCTAGTGAGAAATGTCATGTGTAGCCTTTAAGTTGCTACACTATATAGGAGAACTGATCAACTCATCCCCTTTTTGTGCAAACTGCGTGACCGTAGTGTGTGTGTGCGAGCACGTGTGATTACAGTAATTCCTGTGTGCTGTATAGGTACTGTATGCTAATTTCCGTTATTACAGTAAACTATGCGAAGTGATATGGAACTGTAATGCAGTCAAGAGAGCTGCCTGGAACTACGTTCGCCGTGCGTTTCCCTGAAAATAATTGCACACCTCAGAACGTTCGTCAGCCAATCAGATTCAAGCATTCAACGGCCCCGTAGTATAATATTAGTTATTCCATAGTAAATATTTCAAGCTCTAATTTGACGTATTTCATCGGAACAGGATTGCGGGACTAGATTTTATCCATCAGGAATTTATTGGATTGTAAAAAATGGGAGGTTTTTACATTTTTTTTTTACATTGAATCGGCACAATAAATTCAGGAACATGCATTGTTAAAGTCAAGAGGGTGAATTGCCATTGAATCTGGATGATATGCCATTCAATTTGGACGATTTCACAATCCTGTTACAAACATTGTGGAACCAGATTTTATTAATCAGGAATTGGAATGTGAAAAATTGACATGATAAAAACAGGAATATAGAGAACAGGAGGGGTTGAAATTTCGATAGAGTGATTTTTTTTATAAAACATTACAAATAAACTATTTGTTTATTTTACAATAATGTGCAATGATAAATCAGCACAATATAATCAGGAATTATGAAAGTCAACAGGGTGAAATTCTATGTCTTGCCATTATATTTGGACAAAGGTTTTTTGTCACATTGTAGGAGAGCATGTGGGTGTCTAGAATCCCAGGATTCTCCATCAGTGAAATAGCCAGTGCTAGGAAAGATACGCCGGACCTGCTCTGAATAAATCACTTTTCCATTGTGTGTGTGAGATGGGGCTGTGCGAGGCCAGATGAAGAAGAAGAAAGATGGAGGGACAGGGACGCTTCAGCGGCTTAATGGAGTTGTTTTCAGCCCCGGTGCAGCTCAATCTTGCTCTCAGGGACCCCACGCGTTCCGTCTGCCTTTTTAGTGCGGCTTTGCGAAGTATGTAAACCTCAGCTCAAGCAGTATGTACGCTAGTAAATATACCAATTGGATCTGTGAGCTAGAGCTTGTACGAGCACTTGTGAGTTATCCGGGAAATGTTTACCTTCTGTAAATGACTGTCCAAATGCTGTGCAGCATCAGCATTGCCAACTTCATGCTGCTTGCACTTTCATAAACTGTGCAAAAAAGTCATATGCCACTTGCTCCTTATACAGTAGTTACTATATATTCTTCTGTTTCATGGCGTTTTTGTGGTTTGTATGTGAATGCTCCAGATGGGGTCCAGATGAGAAATTGATAAATCAATTAAGAAATCAATAAATGAACTGAGAATGTTATTGTAGTGTTTAGTTTAATTTTAGCCATTTTCATGATTTTTATTTTTTTTTTCATTTCAATTTTTAATTTCATACAACATTTCAAATTTCAGGCAACATTTCAAATTTTTAACTTTGTTTCTTTTTTATTTATAGTGTATTTATTTTATTTCAGCCTTATTTCAAGTAACAGAAATGTTTTAATAGTGTTAGTTTTTGTTAATAATAAACCTGCTGTCAATCAATTAATTGAAAAATTGATCAAATCAACCACTGATTTTTGGATAAATGTGGATAAATAAATGGAATTTGATCATCTTAAATAATCAAATATAAAGAAGATAAACAAATTAACAAATGAATTAATAAATTGAAAATACAATTGATCATATTAATATACAAATAATTATGAAAATTAACACTTTTAAATCAGAACTTAAAATAATTTTCATTAACATCATTATTTATAGCAATTGGTAATGTTAATTTGAACTAAGTTTAAGTGATCATTGTTGATCAGCACCCAGTGAATTATTTAATTAATTTATCCATTGATTAATCAATTTTTCAAATCATCTACTAATTTATCAGTTTAATTATTCATTTCTTAAAGGGGTCATATGATGCAATTTAATTTTTTCCTTTCTCTTTGGAGTGTTACAAGCTCTTGGTGCATAAAGAAGATCTGTAAAGTTGCAAAGACTAAAGTCTCAAATCCAAAGAGATATTCTTTATAAAAGTTAAGACTCTGCCACGCCCCCCTAAAACAGCTCGTTCGAACACTCCCCCACATATCTACGTCACTATGTGGGAAGATTTGCATAACGCCGCCCAAATGTTCACGCAAAGAAAGAAGGCGTAACTTTTATTCTCGCTGCTTTTATTTCTGAAATTATTTTTGAGTGTCACGTTTGTGTCCCTGTACAAATGACCACCACACACCATTTCAGTTGTCTGAAGCACTATTATGTTTCACTGGCAACATATTTGTGGCAGAGCGAATGCTAAAATCTAGTGACTTGCTTTATTAGAAATGGGAGATGAAAGATTGAATGAAACACAATATTGTTAGCTGTGTCATTGTCCTTATGCTGAGTTGCTGTTTCTAACTGGATGTATCCGCAGCAGTTAAAGTGAATAAGCCTCCAGCGAGCCTTAATGCTTTTTGCATCAGTGTAATTGTGAAAGCAGTTGGACTGCTTTGCCATTTCAGCAATGTGTGCATGAAATGGTATGCATTTCGCAAATTGAGTGAAACTTTCAATTCAGAGAGAGATCGCAATGGTGGTCGGTGACAATGCTTTCTGTCTGTGTTCATTTCCCAGGACTCACCGAGTCTGTCATTGCGGCGGCCTGCTCCAGAGTCGGACAGAACGTTTTGCATTTGGACAGGTAGTTGGATGCTCAGTGTCTATGAAATGAGATATACGTAAACATTTATGTTTATGCATTTAGCAGACGCTTTTATCCAAAGTGACAAAAGAAGAACAACAAACACTTGCATGATGCTGAATAAATTATTCTTTTTTCAATTTTATTTTACAGGAGGAACTATTATGCTGGAAACTGGGCAAGCTTCACATTCAATGGCCTGCTGTCATGGATCGAGGAATATAAGGTCATTATTTGATCATTTTCACTCAGATACTAGTTTATGTGAACTTGTGTGAAGTTTATAGGTAACTGAATAACATTTTTTAAAACTGATACTACATTTTAGCGGTTTTAAGCTGTAGGTCACCTTGTGGTTTTGTAGTCGACGCTTGATTTTGGTTTATAATGTGTGTTCTCAGAATCAGCAGGAGGTACAGATCACAGAGTCGGAGCAAGTATGGAGGAGCTTGATTGATGAGGGAGAGGATGTGGTGCCTCTCAGTTCTGTGGATTCCTCTATTTCCAACTTAGAAGTTTTCTGTTATGCCAGGTTGGCATTCATTTTACTTACAACTAACACAGTCTAAAATGAGTCCTTAACAAATTTATGAAGACAGATCTTGTGTGTTTTGTCTCTTGAATGCACATTTGCTTTGCGTTTTACTAAATTTTAAATTATAATGTTAGGGTATTGTGCGATATGTCAGAATAATAAACATGCTGCATAAATAACTGAATTGACTACTAGGATAATTTAAATGTTACTTCTATTTTAAAGTAAAAAGCTCTAAAAAGACAGATAATTAATAATACATAATAAATAAAGTAATTAATTAATAAATAATAATAGTAAACTTTACACAATGTTGCACTTCTATGCAATTCCTCATAAAATCCAAACAATTTTACAGGTATAATTTTTTTTTATCTAACAATTGTGAATTATATTTTGATAACTAAAAAAAAAAATTATAATAATGAGGGTGAACCTTAACAAATAAAACTAACTGATTTGTATACAAACATTTAAATTGCACATACTGCGGTTTTTATAAAAAATAAAATTTTACTTCTATAATTATCTTTCTACTCCAGCTATTTTTAAAGGAACACTCCATTATTTTTGAAAATAGGCTCATTTTCCAACTCCCCTAGAGTTAAACAGTTGAGTTTTACCGTTTTCAAATCCATTCAGCTGATCTCCGGGTCTGGCGGAGGCACTTTTAGCTGTAGCTTAGCATAGATAATTGAATCTGATTAGACTGTTAGCATCTTGCTAAAAAATGACCGAAGAGTTTCTATATTTTTCCTATTCAAAACTTGACTCTTCTGTAGTTACATCGTGTACTAAGACCGACGGAAAATGAAAAGTTGCGATTTTCTAGGCCGATATGACTAGGAACTATACTCTCATTCCGGCGTAATAATCAAGGAACTTTGCTGCCGTACCATGGGTGCAGCAGGCGCAATGATATTACACAGCGCCTGAAAATAGTCCCCAGCATGCTCCCTGTGCAAGCAGGTGGTCACGTTGGTTATGTTGACGGAAGTTAGCCTATCTTCAGGTGCTGCGGAAAATCTCAACTTTTCATTTTCCGTCGGTCTTAGTACACGATGTAACTACAGAAGAGTCAAGTTTTAAATAGGAAAAATATAGAAACTCTATGGTCATTTTTGAGCGAGATGCTAACGGTCTAATCAGATTCAATGATCTATGCTAAGCTACAGCTAGAATTGCTACCGCCAGACCCGGAGATCAGCTCAATGGATTCAAAAACGGTAAAACTCAACTGTTTAACTCTAGGAAAATGAAAAGTTGCGATTTTCCGCACTTGTTGTCATGACATTATTCAAACATACATTAAATACTGAATTACATGTTATTATGAACATGTAATATAGTGCATTAATTTAGCTAATCCAGCTAAGGACATTGACTCTCTTTCCATGATTTTTCCAAGCTATTTTATTGACTTCTTTCTGCAGTTGAAACATTGATTGAGAGATTACATGAGACACAGTACAATTCAGTAAATTGTTCTGTTTATTTCAACATACCTTCTCATGTTCATTTATGCTTATTTGGTGCTGTAAATAGTAGTAAAGAGGAAGACATGGTCAGTTCACGTGCTGCTTGAACCTATGTGGCTAAAGTGATCTGTCACACAACATTAAAGAGCGTCAAAAGGTATTTATTATTTGTCCTTTATAGTGAGGAAGAAGAGAAAGAAGAGGAAACGAAGGCCCCGTTAACAAGCTGTCAGCCCGTGAATGCTGAGACTGTATCAGAAGAGACCACCGGGGACCCTACAGAGGCTCAAGACACAGTTACAGGTGATGACACCACAGCATCCGATGCTAAGACGCAGAACGAGGAGCACAAAGTCTCTGAGCCGAAGGAGGAGCAGCATACATCTGACATTTCAGAACCCAGCCAATCACAGGAAGAGAAAGATTCGCAGCTGATCAGCAGCCCTGAAGATCGACCTGTAGATGTGGAAAAGAAGATAACATATCAAAAGTTGGTAAAAGAGGGACGCAGATTCAACATCGACCTTGTCTCCAAGGTTTGTATTATTTAAATATATATGATACTCAAAATATTAGATAATAAAAAGAAAATAATAGTAAACCAAGAACTGCTTTATTTAATGAAAATCAACAGAAAATAATTCCTAAAATTCTAAAACACATAAAATGATCATGTAATCTCAACTTAATTATTTTTAGTAGTGGAAACTTATCTAGCTATAACTAGTTAATACAGTAAATGCTAACATGCTTAATGGTAACACAATTATTTGATTAGCATAGCAATTGCTAAATGAATAAGGCAAAATAGATCATTTAGACAATATAGACTAAACTAAGCTCGAAATTAGCATAGCAAAACATCAAACTACTAAATCACTCACTTGACATTAATCTTGCACAATATATTTATATATGTAACACTTGATTTTAATTAATGTAACATTCTAAATTAGAGTTTCTCTAAATTAAAAGAATTTTTTTTTATTAAATTCAAAACAATAAAACTCTTCAGAGTACTTGAAATGCGTCAGTTTAATGAAGAAAAAGAAAGTTCTAAATCCTCATAAAAGTTAATTTGTTTAAATTAATACTAAAATGTAGGTTTGCCCTACTCAAACCAATTGATTATTCTGAGCTATAGGGTTTACCATGTACTGTTTTATTGTTTTTGTGTTTTGTTAAGAATAATGAATCCACTATTTTCTAGCATTTGTTTTGCTCAAAGGAAGGGAAAAATATCTTATCTTGTAAAATGTGTGGTGTAATTGGTAATATTGATGTTGTCACAAGTTTATTAATCAGTGGGAAAATTTCCTCACCATGGCATCCCTAGCTTTAAACAATTAAAATGACTTTCTAAGTCTTTCTTCATCATGTAGTGATCACAGTCTGGCATCTAGCTTTAAATGAACTTAGATGGCAATGAAATGAAATTTATAGTGTTCTCTTTGACCCTCTTCAAAGTTGATGTATTCACGTGGTGCACTGGTGGATCTGCTCATCAAATCTAATGTGAGCCGTTACGCAGAGTTCAAGAACATTGGACGTATCCTCACCTGCAGAAATGGAAAAGTGGAACAGGTATGGAGCTGATCTTTTATAATAAATCCTATTAACAGAATCAAATAAATGTAAAAATGATTTTGGCCAAAAAAATAATGAAATAATGCAACCATTTTTCCAAACTGCTTGTTCTATGTAGGGTTGCAATGATTTTTTATTTTATTTTATTTTATTTCTTTATTTTTCCTTCCCATTCTAAAATTCTGTGTATTTCATCTTTTCCTCATGACTGCATTATATTTTAGATCTAATATGAAGCATCCTGATTCAAATTATTAGAGCAGTTCAGCTAAGATAAAACGATTAAATTGATTTGCTGCTTGATTTATCCATTTCTATTTACTAATGTACCTGATAAGAACATTGACGCAAAAGGTGTTTCTCATTTCACTAAAAATATTAAATGCAGCATTGTAATGCAAAATCCATCTGTGTGAGTAATTCAGGGCTAAAGGTAAGCCGTTTTCTCACAATTGTTACATCCTCCTCTGTACTGAGTGTGTGTAATGTGTATTTGTGTATGCACTAATATATGCACATACATGTCACTACTTTAACCTGCTCTGTCCTGTTTCTTCCTCCCCTGAAGGTCCCGTGTTCACGGGCAGATGTGTTTGCCAGTAAGCAGCTGACTGTGGTGGAGAAACGCATGCTGATGAAGTTTCTCACCTTCTGTCTGGACTTTGAGCAGCACCCAGAGGAGTACCAGGGTATGACCCCTTGTGTTTGTTTCCCTGCAGCTCTCAGATTCACATGAAACATCAGAGATCTACCACAGACATTTACTGTAGATTTCAGGTCAGATTAGAAATCTAGAATTTTGTTCTTAAAGTCAACATGAAATCAAAATCGAACTTTTTTCACTTTAATGAATGTTATTTGTCTTATTGAGCACAATTCATCAGTGCATGTTATTTTAAAGAAAAACATATTTCAAAGTAAAAAAAAAATTAATCCTCTGGGGTCTGAGGGGGGTTTGGGGCCCTGGAGAAGTTTTGACATGCCCTGACATTTGTGTTTTTTTCAGTATCTTAAAAACATATTAATGGCTAAAGTCTGATTACACTGCAATCAACACAAATTGGGCTTCAATAATATGTAATCAGCATGAATGTACATGTTTGTGTTTTTGAGAAAACAACATTTATGCGTGGTTAGTGAAAAACTAAAATTTTTAAGAAATATTATTATTAACCAATAATATCAAGAATATTATTATTAACCAATAATATCATCCTAACCAATAATATCAGCCAAACATCCACAGTCCAGTCAAATGGCAGTGCATTAAATCAAGCCCCACCCTACATTATTTCCCTCTTAATTTTCATCACAATGTCAAACAAATTTGAATGAATAAATATAGATAATATACATATACATTTTCAGAAAAATTAAGAAAACTACTGAAAAAAAAACAAACATTCAAAGTCATTTTTGGTCATTAAAAAAAGGTCAAAATTAACAATTGTGATGTAACAATAACATATAAATTGAAAAAAATTAAAATAAAAAATCATTTTTGAAAAAAAAAATGTATCTACATTTTTTTAATGTACAAATAATTTTACCGTTTACTGCACTTTGTTATTCATCTAGTTATTTACCTAATCCAGTAAATGAATCAGAAGTTTCACACATTCACAGAAAATAGCTTGCTTCCGCATTGCAAAATTAGGTGGATATTGCCCACTGAATTGATTGGCGTTTCATGTTGTCGTTAATCTATAGCTGTACTGATTCAGTCACACTGACATGAGGTCAAACAAACATTCAAAGTCATTTTTGGTAATTAAAAAAAGGTCAAAATTAACAATTGTGATGTAACAATAACATATAAATTGAAAAAAATTAAAATAAAAAATCATTTTTGAAAAAAAAAAATGTATCTACATTTTTTTAATGTACAAATAATTTTACCGTTTACTGCACTTTGTTATTCATCTAGTTATTTACCTAATCCAGTAAATGAATCAGAAGTTTCACACATTCACAGAAAATAGCTTGCTTCCGCATTGCAAAATTAGGTGGATATTGCCCACTGAATTGATTGGCGTTTCATGTTGTCGTTAATCTATAGCTGTACTGATTCAGTCACACTGACATGAGGTAAATTGCAGCTTTTATGTTATTACAATGTTATTCAACATGCAATAATAACTACTTTGGAAATAAAACAGCCTTTCATTCATTAGTGACAGGCTGAGTGGGAGGTCACATTATCCTTTTACACTATAAACATTTGAAATTGTCCTTATTGTAGACTATACCGAGAAACCATTCAGAGAGTTCCTGAAGAACAAGAAGCTCACTGAGAACCTGCAAGACTTCGTACTGCACTCCATCGGTATGGTGACGCAGCAGACCCTTACGGCGGAAGGACTAAAGGCCACGCAGCACTTCCTGCGATGCTTGGGACGCTACGGCAACACTCCCTTCCTGTTCCCTCTGTACGGCCTGGGAGAAATCCCACAATGCTTTTGCAGGTAAACTATACAGAATACTGTTACAGAAAGGAGCAGAAGACTTTGTCGGGTCATTTCACATCAGGGTTATTTTAGTTACCTATAACCAAAACTATAAAAACATTTTGAAAATAAACTGTCTGTAATAAAATAAAAATTAACTACTTTTATTTTTAAATTAACTTCTCATTTTAAATTAGTTTTACTTGATTTACTAAAATAAAAATTAATGAAAACTCTATAGACATTAAAGGGATAGTTCACCCAAAAATGAAAATGTGATGTTTATCTGCTTACCCCCAGGGCATCCAAGATGTAGGTGACTTTGTTTCTTCAGTAGAACACAAACAAAGATTTTTAACTCAAACCGTTGCAGTCTGTCAGTCATATAATGGAAGTGAATGGGAATCACGGCTTTGAGAGTCAAAAAAACATCCACACAAAACCAAATTAAACCCTGTGGCTCGTGATGATACATTGATGTGTAAAGACACAAAACGATCGGTCTGTGCAAGAAACTGAACAGTATTTATATAGTTTTTCACCTCGCAATGTCCGAACTGTCCTGAGCACGTCCTCGACAGCCGGCGCATGATGCGTTTTCTTCTTCTTCTTGCTTTATGGCAGATCTCAGACTTATAAGTGTATTACCACCACCTATCTCTCAAATGGACCATTGACACTCTATCTACAATCTCAATTAGGAGTGTCAATAAATTTGAGAAATAATTAGAGAAATAAAAATACTGTTCAGTTTCTTGCACAGACCGATCGGTTCGTGTCTTTACACATCAGTGTATCGTTACGAGCCGCAGGGTTTAATTTGGTTTTGTTTGTGTATGTTTTTTTGACTCTCAAAACTGTGATTCCTATTCACTTCCATTATATGACTGACAGACTGCAACGGTTTGAGTTAAAAATCTTTGTTTGTGTTCTACTGAAGAAACAAAGTCACCTACATTCTGGATGCCCTGGGGGTAAGCAATTTAAATTTTTGGGTGAACTATACCTTTAAAAAACTAATAAAAGTGACAAAATCACACAACAAAATTATTTAAATTGAAATAAAAACTATATATAAAAATATACCCCAAAAAAACTAATTTTTAAATATTAGTAAAATCTAATTGTATCTCACTGATACTAAAATAACACCTTTCAAATGCAATCAGGTCATCTAAACACTTTCCCCAACATTGACAACATTTTCCGGATTTCCATGTTTTCACTGTTATACGGTGCTATTACGCATCTTCTGCAAGAGTACAGAATCTCTGAATAAACATAGGCAAAGAAGTAGCAGAAACAAAGGATAGCATATGTAAGCAAATGCATATGTAAAATACATCCAACATTAAAAGAATGTTGGATGATAAAAAGATCATCCAACATTAAACAGCATATAAATCAAAACTGCTTAATGTTACTGAATGAAATGTCAACCCAGGAAGTGGTATAGGATGCTCTTGGAGGTGTTGATGGAAGTGATCTACTCCGATCTGGACGTAGTCTTTGACAAAAATGACATTTTCTCGTTTTTTGTTGTTCAAAATGTTCCTTTTTTAATCAAATTTACCCACATTCAAGTGTTGAAAAAATGCATGAAACTAGATTATTATTTTTATGTTTTTTAAAGCAGAAGCTATGTTCTTTCTTTTGACACATTGCATGTTCAGATATTCATACAACTAAATATTCTGGGGGCCATGAGAGTTTTGTGAAAATAATCAAAAATGCTGGCAAAAAATGCTTTTTTTATGCTTTTGGGGAGTGAGTTAATGGCACAGCAACAAAACTGGTTGTTTAAGTCTGAGAGTAAAAAATTGCTAATAAGAAAAAATAATGACATTTTGGCAAAAAAAAAAGTGGAACTCAGTCAGAAACCATGATATACCCCCCTTAATATTCAACTCAAGGTTCTTTACAGCTCACTTTTAGCTCACATCCTCCCAGCTCTGAGGGGGAAGGGAGGAAGCAGGAGGGTTAGGAGGAGGGTCAGAGCTCTGCAGGACTGTTAGTGTTTGCTTTTAGCACTTCGAGTCTGCTGGGAGCAGTGCTGTGAAACGGTGGCACTTAGAGACGAGCAGTCTTCAGCCGTGTGCCGCTGAGAGGAATCATCATCACAGAAACCATGAGCTGGCGTCAGGCCAGGTTACAGAGAACATCTCCCCAAAGACAAGCAGAGCAGTGGAGTGTTTATCTAAAATGCACATATGACTCCAATCTCTGCTTTGAGCTCTGCTCTTAGAAAAAGTTATTTTTACATACACATTATGTCAATAAGCTTGTATAGCTGATGTGCTAAAATAGATCTGCAAATTAGCAAATGTCGCTTACAATGTAAACGCGTCAGAGAGACATCAATATTTCATTTGATTGTGTCGGCTGAAGTTTCTGAACAGTTTTTGCTCTTATGTAATCATGTTCTGTGATACGATTTTATCATAATTCCACATAAAGGCAACTTAACCCTCCAACTCACAATTTAAGCTTGACGTGTCTCATCTGAGAGACCTGCGAATTTTAATGTGCCTCCTCGTCTGTGAGGCAGATTAATTAGCATTTTTGATTTCCATAGTTTTCCACTAATCACCCTTGCTGACATTCAGATAAGCACGCTAGCGCACTGAGGCATGAACCCACCTGCAAGCTGTCCATCATCTGCGGAGGGAACGCAAGAAACAGTTGTCAACGCTGACTTTATTTTTCTCCATGACTTCATTTTAAAATTGCGCACTGAGTATTTATTTTTAATCGTCAGTGACTGTTTACAAAATGGATGTAGCATCCCAAAAAAAAGGACGAAAGACCATGTTTGCTAAATAAATAGTTCACCTACTACAAATGCCAATGTAATCACCATCATGTCATCCCAAACCTTCGTGACTTTCTGGCATAGAACACAAAAGAAGATACTTTGAAGAATGTCCTGGCTGCTCTTTTCCATATAGAGAAAGGAATTCGGGTCATCAAGCTCAAATGACAAGAAAGCACCATAAAATTAGTCTAGAAAACTAAAGCTATTTGAATGGCTCCAGGAGACAATACAGTGTGCAATATTGACCCAGGGTCCCTGTGGGTCCTTAAAAGTTTTAAAGTATCTTAAATTCAGTTTGATCAAATTTAAAGTCATAAAAAGTATTAAATATCTTATGTGTATAACACAAGCCTTAATCATCATTTTAATAGGTCTTAAATATGGGGAGGGATAAACAGAAATCATGATGTTGTCTATTGTCATTGTTAAACTGCATGTTCACGGTTAAAACGCACCTTATAAATATGATGCAGATGCATATTATATTTTTATTATTGGTATCTTGATCACACAATAAGCTGTATAGCATTTAATTAAATCGAGGAAAGGAAAGACGGGAAGGATAATACTTTCTCTTCTGTGTCAGTTGTTTGACGTGCGTTAACAAGATTACCACGACGCATCAAAGACTGAAATGGAAGAGAAGAAATTGTTGAATAAAGTCGTTATTTTTGTTTTCTTTGCTCACAAAAAGTATTCTCGTAGCTTCATAAAATTGAGGTTGAACCACTGTTGTCACATGGACTATTTTATCTATTTTCTCTTTTTACTACTTTTCTGGGCCTTGAACGTGTCGGTTACGTTGCTGTCTATGCAGGGACAGAAAACTATCATCAAAAATATCTTAATTGGTGTTCTGAAGATGAATGAAGGTCCTACGGGTTTGGAATGAAATGAGGGTGAGTAATTAATGACAGAATTTTCATTTTGGGTGAACTAACCATTTAAGTATTTTACATTTGCGATCACCCTGTTTAATCTGAGATAAATGATTTAATTTGAGATTATATAGGTTTGTTCTGGATGGACCTACATCATTAGTTTTATTTGTGCAGGTATTAAAAAGTCTTACATTTGATTTTAAAAACTCTTCAGATACCCTGGGACCACTTTAAAATGATAGAAAAGAAAAGAAAATAAATAAATGTTTGGAGCTCAATTGTTAAGTTTCTTTAAATGGAAAAGAGCAGCTTGGAATTAATCAAAATATCTCCATTTGTGACCCTGGACCACAAAACCAATCTTGAGTGTCAATTTTTCAAAATTGAGATTTATACATCATCTGAAAGCTGAATAAATAAGCTTTCCATTGATGTATGGTTTGTTAGGATAGGATATTTGGTCGAGATACAGCTATTTGAATATCTGGAATCTGAGGGTGCTTTAAAGTTGTCCAAATGAAGTTCTTAGCAATGCATATTACTAATCAAAAATGAAGTTTTGATATATTTACGGTAGGAAATTTGCAAAATATCTTCATGGAACACGATCTTTACTTAATATCCTAATGATTTTTGGCAAAAAAGAAAAATCTATAATTTTGACCCATACAATGTATTTTTGGCTATTGCTACAAATATACCCCAGCGACTTAAGACTGCTTTTGTGCTCCAGGGTCACATTTGTATTCCACAAAGAAAGTCAGTCAAACAGGTTTGGAACAACATGAGGTTGAATTAAATTATTACAAAATTAGCATTTTTGCATGAACTATTCCTTTATGTTGCGATGAAACTAAAGTAGGCTGAAAAAAATTCAATGTCCACTCGTCACTCAATTGTTTGTGTTAATTCTGAAGTAGAAAGACTAAAGTTGTACTTTCTTGTAAAAAATACTCCAGTAATCTGTTTTATTTACGATTTCGTGAAATCATTTGTTACATTGTAGCGCCAGATTTATTCTTTCATATTGTTAAGTAAATCCGAGTGTAACAGATTATCAAAAAAGAAAAAAAGTAGGTCGGGGACGCAGTTGCACTCAAAAATGGAGATAGATTAGCACAAGCTTGCAGGGGCAGGGTTTAAGCAGATTAAATGATTAGAAAAGTCTTGCATACATCACCAGAGAGAAGGCTGTTGTCTAGTTACAACATTACGATTAAAAATTAAGATTTTTTTTTTTTTAAATATGATCCATTACATTCATTTAGAAAATAGATAGAGAGAAGTTTTATTTTATACCACCTGTGCCATTTGCGAATGTG